ATGTTGATCGGAATATTTTCTTGAATATTTGATTTAGAATCTTTAAAAATTCCTAATATTTCAAATGTTGTTGCTGCAGTTTTGACAAGCAAACCCACGGTATATAATATACTATTAATAAGCGCCTCCCCTTCCCCTTTGGAAGAGTTGTGACAGAAGGCACACGACAAAGAATTCAAAGTGTGAGTGAGATAGCGAAACTTCTAAATCATTATTTAAGTACAATTAGTGCAGAGACTGTACGTCTTAATCATTCATATAAAGATGGACCAAAAAGTATCCTAAGAGGTATTAAACCAATGAGTAGAATATGGACATCAAAAGAGGTGGCATTCGACGTATAGCAGATGGTTGAAAGATCAAAACATGGTTGAGACATTATCTAGCAAAACTGATTTAAGCAATACAGTTGCAGCCTTTTTCTCCCTATAGACTGTACCCAAATCATTAGCTGAGCGGCGATTGATATACATTTTTTTGATCATTTCGTTCCAATGAATAAAACATTCGTCTCACCTGAGACACATTTTATTGAAATGCACAACCAAGCAGTGTGGACACATTTTATAAGACACATTAAGACACTGAGACGCAATCTTTGACATGCTAATGGCACATTTTGAAAGACATATTAAAACATTGAAGACACATTTTTCAAGCATGTACAAGTGCTGTTCTAATACAACATGACCGTACAGCAATTTAGATTAAGCTCTCTTTTTCCCCAGCTACAGTCCAGAGAAGTTGGACACACAAGAGTTCTAAGTTTTCGCATAGAAATTGATTTTTGTTTTATAGATTTGGTTAATCAAAACAAAGCGGTAAATGAATTCGCTTATTCGCTTATCATTAAGACACAAAGTTATCTTGAGACGGAAAAGACGCATTGAGAACTGTTTGAACTGTCAAGACAAAAAGACACCGAAGGATGTTTCTGATTGCATCTGAAGACATCTATTTTTTTAGTGTACTTAAAACCCTTCGATGCACGAATAATTAAATATAATTCATAATAGCTAATACGGATTTTTAGAGATTAAACTAGATGGTCGATCTCTGATAAATATTTATCTTGATAATTTAGCAAATATTGTTTTTTCAATCATAACCGCTTTCTGGCACAATTTTTAGTAGACTAAGGTAGCACTATAAGTCAGAATAGGTTGATGGTGTAGTTGTCTTCATCAGCTTGCTATTATATTTCAGAAGTGGATATTTCCGAGATTCTTTTCAACTTTTCCTTTATTTATCGATGATTGCTATTTTCGTTCCGACATGTTCAAGCATTTTCAAATGTGAGCATACAAACACATTGGCGAAGGATTAAACAATCCTCCTCCTTTTAAAAATTAATGTTGGGATCCTCATGAGGCTCATGTTTTTCTTGAACTGGCATCGTTCTATGAACAAATTACTTAGGTATAAGCATCAAAACTCGAACATTTTATAAAGGGCTTTGGATTCACACTGACTTCTACTCACAATCTATTAAAGATCGAATTCACCAGCATCGATGTATGCAACCAACCAAAGAATAACTTTCTTGGGAGTTCAAAGTGATTTACCTTCATTTCCAATTTTCGGTTTTAGTAGAATATTTCTTTCTGAATGTTGACAAGATTGTAACAGACAACAGCAAAGAATGCCGCCACTTTCGTTGAATCGGTGACGATAATCTTGAATTCTGATATGTTTGTTCTCAGCCATCATTAGAGGAATGATGATGATCATATTTATTAGCTCATTGAAGAATGCACAATCAAAATGAATAGATAGATGATTTGATAATGTTCATTTTTAGTAACCGAATTGTAATAATGAAAAAAGGGGGTCGTCGCTCAATTTACAAAAGACGCCATTTGTTATACATTGAAACTTATGTATTTTTGTTTTCCTTTGGGAAAAGTATCACGTATACCACTACATACATCATGCTCTGTAGAGATACACAACACTATGTAAATTTTCAGAAAATCCAACTTTTGTCCGTAGTCTGGTCTAAATTTTCTGCATAAAAGTCGAAAAACTTTGTTTCATTCGGCCTTGATAGATTTTTACAAAATATTACACGGATCGTGTATTCTAGCCAAATAATTTCAATAAAATGTGTATAAAACAACTGAATTCAGACATAACCATTAAACATCTAATGTTACCTTTTTATTTGTCATGACAAAAGACTACTACCTGGATCTTAGAAATGTAACATTATAGTTAGTTGAGACAATAATTTTTCTTCGTAATTTAGTTTTTATTTTGTAACATCATCTAATAGAATCATGAGATATAATAGTTGAGAAAAAACCAATTAATGTGTCAGAACAGGTAATACTCACCATTGCACATCACTCAAAAGAAAAAGACGAAGACGCCTTTGATTAATAAATAGACATATATATTCACCATAAAAAAAAAAAAGAATCTGTTTATGAATCTTCCAAGCACGTTCTTCTGGCAGATACATAGAGACTATTTGAGGATAAGTCATCATATATAGTCAAGGCTAAAACAGATAAAATGTGAACTAGTATAGCAGACGACGTGCTTTAGGATCGGATTAGAACAGACAAAACTTTAATACTGATTGACATCTTGTTTTATTAAACAATGCAGCTTTACTAACATAATTAGTACTAATATGATCATTATAAGAGACCATGACTCAAAAATTTAGAGAGCCTAACTGTACATGACTTAAACCAGTTCTTTGTCTTTTCCAATCTATATGGTCAGCTTAATTGTTTTTACCGTTCTCTTTGCCTTTGAACTAACTTGATGATGCTAGTAGTTAGCTACTTTAAAAGAAGAGAAAAAAAATTTTTTCATTCACTTTCGCGATAAAAAAAAAACTATTCTATTGGATCAAATCAAGAATGAATTACGTTTCCTTTTCTACATCTTCTCATGAAATGTGAATCAATTTATCTATTTTCGATAAAATGATGTTTCCGTGTATAAGAATGTCCTTGACTTCAAAAAAAAGTTAATCCATCGTCGTATGCGACAAAAAAAGAAATTTATGTATTAATAGAGTCTACTATCATGAAGTTGATTATCATTAAATTAATCGAAAAGACATTGACAATAGCACTGAAAACGGAAGATGTCAAATGATCATTTTTTTGTCAAATTTCTTGTTGCAAATCAATAAGTTGTTTTTTTATAATATAAATAACCGTGTACACTATTATGGTCTATGAAAAACAGGCTCAGCTAAATCATTTAGACTCATACAAAGCAAAGCAACAGACAAATTTCTAATCGATATTGTATTAATTTTGATATATAAGTCATACTTCTAATTGTCATATTGTCAAAAGAGGTAATGTTGTTCACAAATGTCTGTCGTTTTCTAGTAATACTTGTGATAATATCCACTTGTTAAACAATTGAGAAGAAGAATGATGATGGTGTATTACACTGCTTTATTTGATGGAGAGAAAGAGTTTAGGACAAAATCAGAACTCTTTCTGTCAAACAGTAGGCCACACTTGAACAATAATATCGTATTTAACAGAAGAAAAAAAAAAGAGAACAATTCAATATGTGTCTGCTGTATTGCATGTAACACCTATTACAAGATGTCATAAAACATATTTTGAGACTAAAGACAAAGAAAATAGAAGTCATAAATACGAGAAAAAAAATGTGAAAGTGCTATTTAAGTAAAAAAAACAATTTCTTATTTCCCACTTGTCTTTCTATAAATGACCTTGTCAAACGGACACACAAGAAGAAGAAGAAGAAGAAGCCGGAAACAATCACTATCACTTTATATTATAGGTGTCAAACATGATTATTCGTTTCTGCGTCTTGACTGGATGAAACCTTTTAAATTTGGTGATAAAAATTTATAAACAAGAAACAAAAAACACTTACTGTATAGTTGATTTTTTGACGAAAGGAAAGATGATGACCTAGAGGCTTTCAGACTTTTAAAGTATATACACAACTTGAACAAGTAATAATTGTACGATAATTTCTTAACATTATCAATGGAATGATGAATAAGAGTACTTTGTAAAGATGGTTTATAATGGCATTTTATCAGTTTCGTTAAATCAAGCAAAATAGTTTTCTATTCATAATATTGTATAATAAAAATAAATATTGTTCATCATGTATTTATAAACTAAAGAAGTTATTTTCAATACTCACATATACCTTAGATATATCACTCATTTATTCATTTTAAATGTGTTATTGGTGTGAAATGAATCACTGAAAGTATTTAAATATATCAGATGTGATTCATTGTCTCTGATCATCCATAATATATATATTTTAATTTCAAATGACGCTTATGTCAATGTTAATTGCTCTATCAACAACACAAAGTTAGGTCAAAACCCAATCGAGAATTATTTCAATGGCATCTGTACTATTTTTTCTTCTTAATGTATTTTGAATCGTATCCGTATGTACTACAGTTCAAGTACTTTATTTTGACGCAATATGACACAAACACAACATAAATATGATCAAAAGAGGCATTTATAATTTATATATACAAAAGAAATAAACGTCATTCCATTTCACATTAGGATTCAACTATTATACATGTGATATTAAGCAACTCGCGTCCCTCAAATAAAAAGAAAGCACGAAATCTGATAACATGAATTAATGACAACATTTTTTGGCCATGATTCTACGTGACACAGATAGACAGACAAGTACTAACACATCATTCCAACGATTGGTACTCTCTAGAACAAACGGATAACCTGATCAATCATAATATAGAGAGTATGAACTAAGTGTCAGTTTTTCTTCTATGTATTAATTAGCATAAAAAGTGCAAAATAGATGATGAATAGGAAAAAGAAATCTTTGCTGTTTTTGTAGATATTAAGAGCGCACTCTGCCAAGCGAGCTTTCGGCACACAGCGATGTAAATCATTCACTGTCTGCCAGCGTACACTCCTTTATGTTTATGTTTTATTATCACAAAGCCATTTAATGGTTACATTATCACATATGTTCCACAGATCTAAAAAATGGGCAGTAGTGTTCAACGATAGATTATTATTATTACGATGTTTCTCTCTTTTCTCCTCTTTTTCTTCTCTGTTGAAGGGATGCAGCGAGAAAGAGAGAGAGAGAGAGAGAGAACAGTGTTACATTCTTTCTCTTTCTTTTTTCCCATTGTTATAATTTTTCCTTTGTTTCTTTTGTGTTTTTCTTGTGCTCTAATTAAAAAAAACCTCGGCAAAACGAAACTTTTGACTTTTGTGTAAGTGAACTAAAATTGCTAACAAAAATTCTTATCAATGTTCACTCCCTGTCTCATATCGTACAGGGATGACGATAATATTAAAGACAAAATGATTTACTAGTAATGACATTAATGATTTATACTACAAGTGATTTTATCCATATTCTTCTATATTATATCATCGTACAATCAGCGTTTTATCAAGGTAAGATTAAAAGTTTAAAGTTTTTAATAGAATCATATTATAATTCGACCAAAAATAGCTGATTAAATTATTTTGTATTTTTTGACTGTCTATTTCTTATTTTCACTGTTTTTATTAAAAAAAATGAGACAAGTACCTAGGAAAAGTCTTCTGTTTATTAACAAACACATTCAACAACGCATTTGGTACGAAAAAATACTTTTCACTTGTTTTTACGATGTTGTTTAGAATCTATTTCTCTTTCCAGACACTTAAACGTGGCAATCCTGCTGTGAAGTTCCCACTGAAATTTGGTTAGAATAGTCTCAAATTTCTCTACCAGTAACCACGAAATACTTATGTTTGAAGTTGAAGAATACATATAAGCTGAGATATTTAATGATTCCACAGAAGCAAAAGTAGACTAAAGTCTGTACGCTTGATGACATGTATACACAGCAAATACTGTTGAATAAAAAATCCATCTGCCAAATCATTGTCATGGTTGTAAGAAACGACGTTGATTTTTATCTACTACTTAGAAAGATGAAAGCCCTGAATTGTCTTGATTGACTTTTTGATTAAATCTTTGTTTGTTTTAAGATAATTTATTAAGAAAACTCCTTGAGAACAGATTATTCCCACCTCTATATTATTTTGATAAAAATCATAATTCTTATTTTAGAAGTCGATTGACAACGATCGTCCTTGCTATTTTTTTCTAATTGCGACAAGGACGAAAAGTTATACTATCTTTTTTGAACATGAAATATGTGGCTCATTAGTATTGATTTATTATTATTTGACTCTCTATACGATAAAGAAAAGAAAAGCTAAACTTTATTACAACATAGTCGATGACATGAAACTTTTGTGACTACATCTCTCAGAATTTGTCTTTCAAAAGAATGCAAAAATAAACCATATTTTCAACATTGATTTGCTTGATTTAAATACTATAGAATCTATTATTACACAATAGGAGTTACTCATAAAAGTTAAAAAGTAGATAAGGTTCTTACAAGAGGAAGAGAGAGAGAGAGAAAATGAATATTTGTCTGAATGGTCAGATTGTTAAAACTGTAAAAAACAAATGAACAGGTTATATGCCAATATTGTTGAATAATTCTATTATAAGGGAGTTTTGGGGCTCCAATTATTATTATTTATTTGAATCTTTTCAATCACAATTATATTCGTCCATATTGCACCCTATAGTTGGTCGCCAATATAATTTTTATTTTTAGAGACCATTTGTGAACGTGTTCAATTTCCTGTTGGTCCAACGTTCATAACAGAGCAACCGTCTCAGATTCTTTATTACATTAACCATGGTACATTGTTAACCTGTCAAGCGATTGCCGAACCGCCACCATCGATAATATGGCTTTATAAAAATGGTACTAATGATGAGTGGTTGTCAGTTGAAAATTCTTCGTCATACATGTAAGTCCTATGATATGTATGTTCTGTTTTTTATTGTCATTGATAAATTGAATAGTGTACATCAGCTGTTGGTTCATCAAGAAATAAATGCGGTCAAGATCAAAGTGTAGCCTAGGATCAAATGAAACTGAACGGAAATTAGTTTTTAATTAGCAATTTAACTCATTATTTCTTTATCTTTTCACCTGTCAAAAGAAAAATTCTTGTTAGTCTATAGATAAGGTTCAACAGCTGACCTTCGAAAGAATTTCATTTATCTATCACTTAAACATGTTATTTTATTTTTTGTTTTAGTACTTTATTCAAAAACGGAAGTTTATTTATAAAACCATTTAAAAATTATGTTCGGACAATACATAGTGGATGTTTTAAATGTGTGGCTGAAAATGTAGCGGGAAGTATTCATACAAATAGAATTAATCTAAAACCACGTAAGTATAAAAGTCTAGAGTTCATGTGATTGTAACTGAAATAACGTCTGGACGATATGCTATTTTTTCCACTAAGAGGACTGGTGTTCTTGAATTTATTGTAATCTGATCAGTTCCTTTAAGATTTTTACTCGATTGAAATGTCAAGTTTGCCATATTGTATACTTGTATAGACAAATGATCAAATAACAAACTCTATTATGTCTCTCGTATGTGGCCACTTAAATGTACACGTATCAGTGTAAAGATTAAGATACAGAGAGGTTCAATCTCTGCTTTTTCTTCTTTTCTTTCTTCGTTCAGCTGTTTTTATTATATGTTTCTGATATCCCAGATCAGCACTATAATATATATTTATCCAACGATTAATTTTTACTAGGTATATCTGCATTTGGTAAAATTCCCTCTCTAGCTTATATACACACGTACAAAAAAAAAAACAATAAAGATAATAACAAGTGTACGACTCTATTGACAAGTCCGCATTCTAATGAACATATGTCGAATGATAACAGGAAGTAATTATCACTAAAACAAATTTCATCATGCTGTTTACACTGATATATTGTCTATTAATACTATTAACACACACTCACACAGATTAGAGAAAGTTATAGGAAACAATATTAGATTAAGTTATTGTATGATTTTTAAAAATTTTACTCCATAAGGTTAGATATATCTAATTGTCTTTATTTTAATATATTATTTCTTGACCAAATATATATTCTATCATTTAATACCGAGAATGCAACATTGTTTATGAGAACTATAGATCAGTTGATGAATTTTAAGCGATTATTATGTCAGATGTTGTTAGAAATGTTTTGGTCAAGAATAACAGCAACAGATTTTCTTTTTCCCTGCAAGTTATTCGAATTCGTCTGTAATTAATCATTACATCTAATAATGTTGTGTTGATAGATAAATACTTAAACATATTTACTTTTTCATTAAGATTTATCGTTTAATATAATTAGTAAACATGAGCATCTCGTTAATCAACAATAACAACAAATACAGTTGTCATGTCTATTTCACATTGTTTGCTTGTGGTATAAAAGCATTTATAGAGTGACCGATGACGATTGTCTCTATCTACGTGTCTATACATCTACTAACCATTAAATATAAATATTTATCAACGAGTCACAACTGTGTGTGTCTACCTCAATGTTCATGTAATAAGAAAAAAAAAATGGTCAGTTAGAATAATGAGTTGTGTCAACATTGTTGTTAGCAGATTAGAACAGGGAAAATAAAAATTAAATGATTGAAGCACGACTACATATCTGGAAGTTGAGATGGATCATACAACTGATCTAACCAGTGTGAACAACATATAATGAACAATTGAAATATATTCTGAACAATTAATATAGTAGAATAGTCCGATCAAAATGAATTTACTGAAGAAGTTTATGCTTCTTGTAACATTGAAAACTCCGAAGAGAGGATTATCGTCTTGTAGTATTTGATAGTTTCAGGCATGTTCTATCATTTTATAGTTGTTTAACTTCATCATACTAGATGCTCTTTCTCTCTCTCCTTCTCTCGATATATACATGTGTATTGAAGTGCTCGTGTGTTCTATACACAGTCATATTGAATCAATAGACAATTATATTTTCAAGTGGGTGTTAAATTATAATAGAATTTTGACAGTTATCAGCAAATAAAATTTATTTCAATTGTTTCACCTTCTACCAGTCTGTTCTATTGTATGGTGATAGTTGTTCTGACACGGTGATTCTTCTTGTATGAATAATAGAAGACAATAATTGAGCCCGTGCCTTCACGGTCATATGCACTCGGATAGTATATAAAAACAGCAATCATCGCTTATACGTATATGAAAGTAAACAAAAGGTATTATGTTTGCCTAACTTTTTAATTAGATATAAATCATATTGTTAGTGAACTAGTAGAGAGATCAATGTTAATATATAATGATAATATATTTTAAAGCAGAACTATTTTATTATTTTTTACTATAAGACTATTCATTGGAAGCGATATTTATCTTATATTCTTGTTATTTGAATGATTTAGTGTCTCCAACGAGCTAATTGTAAAGGGTAATCTTGTATAAATGATAAAATGTCGAGTTTTTAGAATTATGTCACTTCATGAGTGGTTCACACGCACATTTCTTTCTATTCTGTAGACCAATTAAGAAAATTGTGCACAATTTCCTATAAATCTCTCTTATGAAATCGACATCTGATTCAATTTAGGTTACAGAACTATATGGTAGCACTTTCAACATAAAGTCGATGTGTGTTCGACCCATTCTCTAACCATTTCCGTATTTTTTTAATAGATCGTTTCTTCTATGGAATAACTCTAATCCAATTGCGTCAAAATAGATTTCATCACTATCATCGAAATTTTTAATAACTAATTGACATGACATTGCGTATTGTTTTGATGCGTTAGGAGAATTTACTAAGTCTACATATCAATTAATTGTATAAAATTTTTCTTTTTTAAACATGGATTATTACATAAAAGAAGATGAAAAATTTATTCTGTAATATAGAGAAAGAGAAAATTCTCTCTTCAATTATTAATCGACCATGTAAATTTAGATGGACATTACGCTTCAATAAACACCATCGTAATCATTACATTCGACTTAGAATATGTATCCTGAAAAGCAAAATTTTCCTTATGCTCTCATAGATTTAATTTATTTGAATCTTATTAATTGAAAGATTGAATACATAACTTTAGCGTTATGCGGAATGAACCTACACAACTCTGAAATAAAAATAAACCACTATTAGCATTTCGACGAGTTGTTTGTTAGTGTGAATTTAATAAGAATCTAAAGCGTTATATAGCAGGATTAATCTATTGCATGTCGTTCATATGTGTGAACAAGAAATGTTCTATTTCGTTCAAAAGTGTATTCAAGAACATTCATAGATCAATTGAATTCTATTCATTTATTTAGAAATTTATGATGTATACGAAATAGAGGTGAAAAATGCTTATGGTTATGAGCATTCTTCTGTCATATTATCGTGTGAAGTTTCCAGTTTTGCCACACCATATATTCAAATAATTGGTTGGTTATCAAAAGAAAATGAACAAATAGTTGAACTCTCACCAAGTACACATTTTAGACTTTCTATCACACAGTTATAGTATTCTACTCTATCTTCCATTTAGAACCATTTATAAGATATAACATGTTACCTAATAACAATCTAATTATTCATAATATTTCAAAAGTGGACAATTTAAGTTACGCATGTTTAGTACGTAATCGGATAACAAACGAGTCTCGCAGAAGTGAATTCAAAATGCTTAAAATTCGAGGTAAATGTGGTAAACATATGTTGAGAAATTGACATTTCTTATATATTTACGTTTTAGATTTTAGTCCGTTTGGTCCAGAATTAATTATTTCAAATGGAACAGAGTATATGGTGAATGAGGGTGATACTGTAGAAATACCATGTGCTATCTCTTTAATGTCATCACGATCGAAATTAACATGGTATAAGAATGGAAATATGATTAATATGTCGTCACAATCTCAACAATATCGATCATTTGAAAATTCCATAATATTTCAGACATCCGCAGATGATAACGGAAACTATTTATGTCGAAATGAAGATGATTTAGGCAATATTATTATATTCTCATCTATCTTAAAAGTACAATGTAAGTAGATAAAAAGTTGTCGTTACTCTGTGTTAAATCTAATTGTTTTTTAGCTAAAATTCGTTGTGAAATGATTGTTAAAGAGGAATATATTACGGCGGGTAAAACATCTGAATTCCGTTGTCAACTATCATCAGATGTGAACAACAAACATTCTAAATGGATTTGGTATCGCAATACAGTTTTATTGTCGTCCAATTCGTCTAATAATATAGAAATTAAAAATAATATTCTTTTCATTCACAATATCAGTCGTCAAGATATGTCCATGTATCAATGTTGTATTAGTTTACATCAAGACATGTTCAAATGTGCACAAACACAACTAAAAGTTATTAGTAAGTTGAAAAATACAGTTAGCTGTGTATTATTTCTATTTCTTAAACTAACTTTGAATTATTCATTATTACGAAAAGAAAGATAACGACATATATTAGATAATGATTATCTCTGTGTGAAACTGTATTTTGCTTTAATTTTTGATAACTGGTGAGAATTTATATAACACATAATATCCTTTTATCGTTTCTGAAATGAATGCTAAAAAAAATCGGCCACTTGCCAAATCTTTCTATCAATCTTTTAACTTTTATTTCTATTTACACAAATGCACATTTCCCAACATATACTAACAATGACATCGGTTTAACAACTGTTCTATATAGAATAATAATCTTAATTATACAGTTTGTTCAACGATGAAGCCTATTGTTTATGTTGTAATATATACAGATCTCATTTAACACTACACGTGTCTCTACTATTGCATTTGAACGACAATACAAAAAAAAAATGAATATTTAGACTATTCTTTGTACTTGAACAAAGAAGAAATAAAGCACATATGCTTATTCTAAATGTATATCCGTTTTCGTTTAGATTCGGCACCTTTTATCATTCACAGCCATCAACACCAAGACAAACGTATTGTGAAACTAAACTCACAGATTGACATAAATTGTACGCTTTATGGTGATCCAATACCGGATATTGAATGGATAATAGATGGTGAAACAATCATCAGTAAGAATGGTTCCACCAAACAACAACAGCAGCACATATTGCCTAGTGGCGATGTTAAAAGTACTCTTAGTATAAATGTAAATGACAAAACAGATACTGGACTATATGAATGTAAAGGAAGAAATCAATACGGTTCAACATTGTTAAGAGTATCAGTGAATCTAGACGGGCCGCCGTACATAAGACCACTAAAAAATGTTACTATTAAGTATAATGAATACATTAGCATACCATGTTACGCTTCCGGACATCCATCACCACATTTGACATGGATTCAAGGTAATTACACATAACAATAGGTAGACAAGAAAAGTCAATTCATTTGATTTTCTATGTATGCTTTTTATAGGATTTGTGCAATCTGCTGACAAATTTGATAATGTGACATCGTCTACTAGTCCGGCGCTATTGACAAAATCGAATTTGACAAAATCAGATTTTTATTCGTGTGTTGCTGATAGTGCCGCAGGTCGTACTATAGAGAATGTATTTGTATCCGTTATTATACCAGCAAAAATTGTTTCCAAACCATTGAATATCACTACAATAAAAAATCGTACTATTTATCTAACATGTACGGCTCAAGGAGATTATCCTTTAACATTAACTATGACAAGACAACGTAGTACTCCTCAACAAACACACCATTTTGATATAAAACGTACAAAATCTTATGAAACAAAAAGTAATACAACAAAGAATATAACAGTTGAAATTAAACGAGTAAATATTGATGATAGCGGCATTTATACCTGTATAGCTCAAAATTTGTATTCAAATGATCATACCGTATTCTACGTTAATGTACAAGATGTTCCGCGACAAGTATCTAATGTTCAAATGGCTTTTTTATCAGAAGATCATAATAAAATATCATGGAATACACCGTTTAATGGGCATAGCCAAATAAACGCCTATGTTATTAATATTCAACAACAAACCGTTATAGGGACCACAATTTATGAGAATAAAATCAGTGTCAGTAGTGATACAACTACCTATGATCTTTATAATTTAACATCAAAATGTTCATATTCTATTACTATTTATGCGGTTAATAGTATTGGTAATGGAATTCCTAGTGACATATTACATTTTGCTACTAAAGCTAAAAGTATGAAAAGTCAATTTCAACTCTTCTTCTGCTTGTGATCATACATAACAAACCCGCCTTTTTCTTTTAGAAATAAATAGTCCCCCTATAAACATTATTATTACAAATATAAGTTCTAGTTCGTTGACTATCAACTGGCAAGTATGTATCAAATTTTAACTATTAATCATCATTAAGATATAGCATTTCTCGTTCATTTTAGAATCCAACTATTATTTTCTGTTATGATCCACATTTTGAATATTTGATAAAGATTTGGAAACAAGATAATGATTCGTATCATCAAATAATTCATGTTAAAAATTATACATTTCTTCATAATCGTCCAACAAACGTTTATTCAACATTTATCAAACATTTAAACAGCTATACAACATATCTGATAACAATACAAGCAATTAATGAATTTGGTATTGGTCCAAGTATAAATCCGCCATTGATGATACAAACTCTCGAAGATGGTAGAATATAGATAAATGATTACAATTATAGATAAACATGTTCGGTGAATATCTTTCCTTTTTCTTTAGTACCACACGCAATTATTAAAAAATTATCGGCAAAAACGATTAATACAACAACGATACTCATTACATGGTCAGCAATATCTAATGAATCAATAAATGGGCAATTTCGTACATTTTCTATAACATATTATTATGCTTTTGGTAAGAGTGAAAATATAAATTATGCTATGAATTTTAAATATAGATTAAATATTTTTAAAAAATAGATTTGTCCACAATGAAGACGATTGAAACAATCGAAAATAGTATAATTGTAACAAATTTGTACGAAAAAACAACTTATATCGTGTTTGTTAGTGTCTGTAATTCTTTTGACTGTGGTACACCGTCAAAATCTATCATTGTTAGTACAAGAAATTCAAATTCAGGTTAGCTCGCCTCTTTTCAGCTTGATTTTAACAATGTATATCGGATACTATTTTTGTAGTAGATAATAACAATATATCTATCGTTCATCCTAAAACTAAACCATTACAACTTGATTGTATATCAGAAAATACTTTACAAAAATATTGGTTATTTAGGTACGTAGGTTAATTTTAGAAACAATAGTAAACATATTAAGAAATTTTTATAGGAATAAACCAATTAATGAAACAGCTGATTTTATAAAAATTTTACCGAATAATTCATTATTAATAATGCAACCACAACCGTTTAAAAACGATGGAGAATATCAGTGTCAATCACACAAATATGATGTTATGATTTATGGTACGTAAATCAAAGTAATTCAAATGAAATATCCGAATAAATTGTCTAAATATATATAAATATTTTAGACAAGCCATCAACAGCAAAAATTAAACTCCATTACATTACGACAAATACGATCGGACTAAAGTTCAACTACTTGAACACGACTATACCCATACAAGGTAGGATAATTTTCTTCAAGAAAATGATTTCTGCATGAATATTTATTTTATTTTAGGAATTATTGTTTCATTCATGTTCCATAATTCTGTTGAAAAAGTTTACGTATTTCCACCGTCAACCGGTGTTCGACTGGAGAATTTGAAATGTGGAAGTCAATATGAAATTTTTACTTATACAGAAAATGATGTAGGAACCAGTATGATATTGGCAAATGAAACACTTTTAGTAAAAACCGATGGTTTCGGTAAGTCGGCTTAGAACTCTTTTTATTTTTGTTTGGATTAAAGAGTTTTAACAATTTTCTTTTATTTAGTACCGAGCACAGAAAATGAATTGCAGTTCATCAAAGCAATATATGATACTTATTTAGAATTAAATTTAACATTTTGGATAGCAAATGGATGTTCAATAGAAAAATATGGTGTTAAGGTACGTTTTTCAATAATATTAATAAATTTTTTATTCATAATATCTATATTTCAGCTGCAATCAATATTAAATGCTGCTGGTGATCGATATGATAAATATTTTTCCTACTTTAACGATACAAAAAGTGTTAATATAAATGATTTAACTCCTGATACACATTATGAATTGACTTTGATAGCAGAGAACGAAGCCGGAAATAGTAATGTAACTATTCGATTACGTACATATCCACTTGGCTATTTTACAAAAGATAAATTACCAAAATTAGGTATATACTTTCATATTTCAGTAATTGAAATCTACTTGACATTATTTTATAGATAATCAAAAAAATTCGCATTATAATTTATCTAAAACATTAATGGTAACAGTTTCGATTGTCTCTGTATGTGTCGTGTTACTCACAATACTCATTATCACCAAATTTTGTCATCGATATTTGAAGAAAACAGGTACGTATAGATATGATGTTATTTTAAAATCAACAATTAAGTTTATATTTTAACAGAAATGTTATTAGGTCAAAAGAGATTAAAACCAGTAGCAAAACGAACACATTCCTTGTGGATGGAAACAGATAATGAATTTACAATTAAAACTTTTACGAATGATCATCAAATTAAAGAAACGGCAGAATATTCAAATAGACCCTACAGTTTTGTTTCAGGTTAGAGAGATATTAACTATATTTGCTGGAAACATATTTCTTTTTATGCTGTCATTTTTAATAGAAGATTCACAGGGAAATATTAATCCGTACGCAGTTATTGATTTACCAAATAAGAAATGCATTGTATTTGACAATAATCCAGGTAAGCAAACTTTTTTAAAGTAAAAATCTCTTATTGAAGGGAATACTGTCTGTTATAAGTAAAAAAACTATGCAATATTCCATTGATCATATTTTAGGAGGCCATCTACCAACTCCACCACCATCCGAGCGATTTTTTCGTCCTATCGTGCTCAAATCATCGATAAGTTCAGATGATATTTCAATCTCGTCTACTAATCAGTCTGTCATTCAACGGCAACACCAATTGCCATCACTATTACAACAGCAAGAAAGAAATCAAACCTATTTTCAATCTTATCAACCGTCCAGTGTCTTATCGACGATTTCAGCTAGTCAAGCAGAATTGTGTTCAGCATTTTATTTACCTAATACTAGTCAAAACTCATTTATACGACGTCAAAATGATAGATGCCATTGTAATAATACCAAAATGGAAGATCATTTACTTTTTGGAGGTGCTGTTCAGCAATGTTCGTCAGCTGATTCCGGTGTACATTCGTCTACCCAGAGTCCAATATCAAAACAGCAGGATGAAGGTAGTATTTACGCAATTTATAGAATAGATTCAAAACTCATCTCTATTGCTTTGTAAATAGGTTTACTTCACAAATGTTACAGATCTGAAAGATTGACACCCCGAAGGTAATAAATCTTTCAAACAACCATGTCTGTTGTAAATCTATATTTTTTTTTCATTTTTGTTTTAAGATGTCCTACAAATGAACAGCCTTTTCGACATTCTACACAAAATCATCATCGTCCATATTCGACAACCGGTTTTGATGAAAGCAAAATTTATGCTGCTTATGATGAACAATTTTCGTTATTAAGGTTTGTTCTACGTTAAATTGTTTATAGATGTACTAACAAAAAGAGTTCATTTTTCTAGACGAGCAAATATTCAACTAAACGATCATGTGGGCCTATTCGATCATCATCATCAATATTCATTAGTCTAAAATATTGTTCTCATTTTTTTCTGATATTTTTTTAATGTTTGTATGTCATAGTGCTATAACAGTGGAAATGTTTTTTTTTTGTTGTTGTTGTTATCATTTAATATTTTGAGTGTTTTTAATTGTTTACACTTGTTTTTTTTTCTGAGATATTTATAGGAAATGAAGTTTATTTTTTATTAAACCAAGTTTTGGAAGTGTTTAGTCAATCTGAATGATTACGCTTTTTTTTTATGGCATCTTTCTATCGAGAAGAGTCCATAATTTGAATATGTAGGTCATAGCCTGAAATGAACACAAACATCATTAAATCAAGCACCTCTGATATGAAATACTATTTATGATGAAATTCTCTAACTGTCAAATAGTTTCAATTGATTGCTCTTGTCCACACTTATGCTCGTACCTCATGGTCAAAACATAATGCAAATGTCACATCAATTCTCTTTGTGTAATTTTGCATCCATAATTACAGATTTCTCTTTTTTCTTTTTTTTAAAACAGTCGATTTAATGTACATATTCAAACAATCATGTTGATTGTCCTTTGGCTGTTTTTCTTTCAGTTCTCTGGATTGTAACAATTCTACATGTATAGTGGTCCTTTTTGCCTCTCATTCTTCTTGTTACCTTTATTTTCTTTTTGTCACAAGAAGTCTTTCTTTTTTCTTCTATTGCTTCTTTTGTTCTTTTACAAAATAACACGAAAAAATATTTTCAACACATACTCGTACAAATCAAAATTTAGTTTAATTAATCCATTCAACACGTGAGATCAAACTATTTAAATTCAATCTATGTTAGCATTACCAAAAAATAAAACTGGTAATAATTACTTACTCCTCTCATTCTACTAAATGCAATGACAAAAGAAAACTTCGTATTCGACAAATGAGGGGATCATTTGTCTAATGTATATTATGTAATTATTTTCAGGATTGTTTGCTGGTGATACATTGCAAGAGGCAAAATTAGCTCGTAATAATCATGTGACTATTCCTCCATTGACGCCTCAATATCGACAAAACTCATTTCATTTGTTGTTAGCATCAGCTGAACAAAATCATCATCACAATACTACTAAAGAACAACAACATTTATTGTACATCGAACAAAGCAAAAACTATCAGTCGGCTATATCTTCAAAAGACATTCAACGTAATGGATTTCGTCCATCAAACGTTAAACACGGTGCATCAGATATTAATCGGATTCGATCACTCGGTGATACATCGTTAAGTGCGTCGAGAGTAAAGAGTGCCGCAGTACTACCAATGGCTCCTAGTACGAATATCTCAAATAATCGATCAACATTTATAAATTCTCGAGCATCAGCCAAACTCAAGTCAGAAATAGGCGAAATGAGTGAAAGATTAAGAAAAACCAACGAACGTCTAAATTCAAATGAAGATGTTCAAATGTTCATTGCTAAACAACTGCGAGACGATCGATTAGTTCTCAACGGACCATCACATGTTTCACCAAGTGTTATGTCTTCATCGCCATCATGTCGAATATCCTCAGCATCAGTAATATCTCCTTCACTACAACAAGAACGTTATTCATCAGCAATCACAACTCTCACCGGTAATACAATTACAGAGTCACATACTACACCAGCAACAGTAATACCTGTTCTTCATCCAAGTCATTCTTATCAAGTGCCACAACAGTCCAATGTGGGCAGCGAAAGTGTACTCTTAAGAAAAACTCCAACACCACGAAATAAACCATCCATCTCTTGTCCTTATTACGTTATGTATTTTACACAAATGTACCTTAAAAAACAGCAAAAAGATGCGATAGTATTCCCGAAAAATAATACAAATTCTAGTAACAGTTTGTATTATCCATCAAGACGAGGCGGACGCATTAGTCCTTTAAGTATGATGACCTATAATTCAGCATTCGATGATCGCCATTGGTTAGATCATAAGCGTCAAATTAATAATAAAAATAAAAGAAATAACGGCAAAGAGAACGAACAGCAGTCATCAATGAAATTATCAAACAGAATTACAATGTTTGAAAACGAAACAGTTCATCAGCTACAAGATCTTTTACGTACATCTTCTTGGAATCATGTGCAAGTCTAGAATATATTTCAATATAAATTGTGTAAAGCTATTTTTTGCTACTGTTTTGTTGATAAACTATAATATGTACGAAATAGTTTCAGTTTCCTTCTCGTTCTATGATACATATTAATTGTTTGAATTTCTTTGTGTATATATATATTTACATACAAACAACAAGAAAATAAATGAATTAACAGAGAGATGGCGTAGAATTCGAAAATCTTTTATTGTTGAATAAAGCACGATATTTATATTGTTCTGGCTTGGTCATTGAAGAGTTAGTGTTGGTGCTACTTGCTATTGGTCGTACAACCGTTCTTTTTTGTGGATTTCTCATTTGATGTTGGTGACAATGATGATTGTTACTATTTTGTTGATGATGACGATGATTTGTCGTTGATAAATTAGATGTACTCGATCGAAATGATATGAGATATGTTGGTGTTGTTGTTGTTGTAGTATCTAGCTTTAAATTTTGTTGAATTTTTTGTCGACAAAACGGTATCACGGTAAATATGGATAATACGGATTGACGAAATTTATGGGATGTTAATATGTAGAGAAAAAAATTCATTGTATGTTGCAAATCACTTATTTGAAACATGACGACAGTCAATATTGTTAAACGACGATATCGAAGCCATTGAGTATAATTATTTTCAGTAGGTCGATTAGTAAAATCGTATGTTAAATCGAGAACAAAATAAATGCTATTCGGAAGTGTTAAAAGAAGAAAAACAACAGCCACTGCTAACAGCATTAATGTTATATGGCGATGTTTATGTCGAATAGCGTCCGTTTTCTGATTACTACGTATTTCAATATCTTTGATATTTTCTAGTTTTCTGTTACCTAAAACAGAAATAAATTAATATCGAGTGTGTTATTGTTACACTTAACAACTTAAAATTGTTTTTTCATGCCGCGGAAAATTGTTAAAGAACTAACGTATGTTAGTTTTGTTATCGAATTTATCAGAAATTGAATATCTGAAATCTTTTAAACGAACTATTAAGGATATTTTCAAAGGTTGAAATTTGGTTACGGTGTTCACTACCAAATTTGAATCTAGGTTAATGAAAAAAAGTCAGTTCAATTCATAAATTATGGTAAGATCATTGAGTTATTTGTAAGATTATTTTTGTTTTCATTATCGTTGTCATATATTTTTCTAGAAACCTCGAAAGAATTCCAGACAGTTCTATTAGGCAAATTTCGTTAGTTGACAGTTTACAGCGATCACTATTTATGCGCGATGTTCACTCATTAATAATAAATAACTTGCACTATTCTTACTACGATTACAATCGAATCGTGAGTTCAGCACGCAACTTAACAAGATCGATATTTATCATGACAGGACGGCTCTTCCATCACGACTTTTATCTGGTTCTTTTTTTATGAGTAAAATCGATAATTAAGTCAAACAAATACTTGGCGACTTGATTGCGGTTAGGTATGCATCGATTAATAATTGTTGTTAGAGCATTCAGGAAAATCGTTTCGAATTGATTATAAAATATCTCTCAGAGCTGCTAAATGTTCCATTTTGTAGAGAAATGTGTGTTCTACAAAAGTGAAACGTTAGAAAAGTTTTAGTATTATTTGTAACAGAAACATAGGCATTCAAAAATGTGCAAAATCGTGAAAAATAATCAATGATCGATTATTCTTTGCTATTTTAGTGCGTTTTCGATTTTATTATATTCTTTTCACATATTCACCAGCTCTAAGAGATATTTTATAATCGATTCGAAACGATTTTCGCGAATGCCCTAACATCGATTATTCGTCGATACACACCTAATCGTGATGAATTGCTGGAGTATGACGAGACTCTGGAAATTTATATACTGTGTTTAAGCAAAACAAAACGGTGATGGAATTTGTTATCAAAGACAGACTACGTTTCTTTGTCATATTGTAAGTATTAAAGAATATCATGACCGCGATACGGTGTTAAAACTAAAAAAGTTATTTTTATAGAGGTTCGCTACAGAGAGTCATGACGTGATCCTAAATTAAGAACTTTTTGAAATATGAGCGTTCATCGTGAATACGATTTCATCATATTCATGTGAAAATTTTACGACAGCAGGATTATATACTTGCACCATCAAATGAGCGAACCTTCTATAATTTCACTAACGATCCCGCATGGAAATATTTACGAATATGTGAACGTAGGGAATGCACGCTTATTTATTATTTCGTCATGGATGTAACAATCGTGTTCGTATCACGAATGAACTAAGAAAGTTGACTTGAACTTATTTTTGATTTTGAGTGATCTACGAAGAAACTACTTAGATGATATCTTTTATTTTAATTGGGCATTTAGTTTCAACATGAAATTGTAAAATACAAATACATAAATTTTAAAATGTAAAACATTTTCCGGTTCTATATTCTATTCTATAAGAAATCTCTCACAGTAAACGTACTCTACATAGTAGAATAAGGTACACAGCCGTGATAGGCAAAGTTCTTGGAATCTCGTTCGCGACTAGTAGCGACCAAATGAAACCGCCTCACGACCGTATTGAAAGGAATTTATGCTCAAAGCGTTTTTCAGTACTGTAATTATGTGTAAAGTATCTTTCGTATAAATGAATATGGAGACATCTTGATAAAACATGTGTACCTAAATATTAATTAATCAAGACAATCATGCACTTGAGAAAAAATTTTCTTCTCCAAAGACACTGCCCATTGCCTAATTTTGTATGTGATTTGTCTTACCAAAACGAGAAAATAAGAAACGCGTTTTTATCCGTTTTTTCCCACAAAAAAAACAGATCAAAACGCGTTTTTTAATTTTTCCGTTTTGGTGAGGCAAGTCACATAGAAAATTAGGCAATGGGCAGTGTCTTTGGAGAAGAAAATTTTTTCTCAAGTGCATGATTGTCTTGATTAATTAATATTTAGGTACACATGTTTTATCAAGATGTCTTCGTATTCATTGATACGAAAGATACCAAAAAAAATGGTGATCATTATAGATAAAATATTTATTTTCTTAACGTTGTTTGAAAATCATTTCTGATCGCAGCTGATTTTTTGCAGCTTTCAAACTGTTTTCTGCCGATGTATTTTTGTTAAGATAGTTAAGATAATATGAAAATCAGTTTTTGAATTTATTACTATATGTTCAATACGCAGTAATTTCAGAGTAAGGGCGAGAGACAAATAAGGAGATATATACGCTTGTTTTTGTTTTACAGAAATATCTATCTCTTAAACAGTTCTGAGGATCAGAAGGGCTGAATCTTTACCAAATCAGGCATAGTTCTCATACATAGGCTCTATTAATCACTTTACAAAAGTGAGAAATACCCCAAAAATTCAATCTCATTGCAATTATGAGTTTCGTCGTTCTTAATGATCTTTGTTTGTATCGGCGATCAATGTGGTCTTGTTCGACGCATCGAGGATTGAATATCTATCAACCACGCCTCATTCACAGAATGCTAGATCAATTTAAGGGTACCTCTCGTCTTATTTTGCGTTTTCGAAATGAATTTTACTACTCGTAAAGTATAAGAAGGAATGACTTGTTATTTTTAAAGGCTATGTAAAAGTTGTTTGCCTATCTATTGAGGCCGTAGCGAAGTTTTCAATTATCTTGATTTAGAAGTTTTCTAGAAATCTTACTTTTCAATTGGCCTTGCTTATGACTCCTCTGAAAGTTCATCCGATTAGGCTAAAGAATTTATGATAAATAGCTGATTGTGTATCCTAGGGATTTAATGTTTTCTTTTTAAATATTGCGTCCTTTAAAAGTAAGTTATAGCGAAAATACCCAAACACTCTTTAGAAAATTAGCTTCTGGAGAAATTTCTGAAGTAATTGTAGTAAAAACTTCAGTCTGACTGGATGAACTTTCAACGGGGTTGTAATTAAGGGCAGTTGAGTGCAATAACGAAAAAAAATGTTTTGAACCAAACACGTTAAATATGTCTGTGCGTGTTACACACAACAGAAATTAGAATTAATAACCTCAAAATCAATCAGTAAAAACTTTATTTAGACAGGAATAAACATAACAGAACACCTTATTTGTTCTGACATTTTTTAAATGTAACAGTCAATAAAATCATTTTTAATTCATCATTAGATGACAGATACATGCACATAGTTTCAGGCGATAAAGGTTAAAAATATTCGAAGGCTCTGAGAAAGTAATTTATAGGATTTCTCAATCAATTAAAGTGAAATTGAAATTCGAAAGATGAACTTTTCTTCATTCTCAATATCTTATTCTCTCTTCACACCTCGAAAGAATCTCTATATATACTTGAGTTGGAATGTAAACAAAACATAACAATGAACAGGAGACATGCACGTATTTATGTAAAGCGTGCATTTCTTGCAAAATACACCCCTTACATAATAGAACTGCTAGTTAACCTAAAATGATAAAAAAAAAATATGATGATTTAAACCATATCTACCTAAAAATGTGCTTGTATAAAACTTTTTCGGTGTGAGATTTTTGTCTATCGGTTTTTTGCTTCGCAATTTATAAATAATCAATATACTAAGTGTTAATATTAGAATAAATGGAATAAAACACCATATAAAAAAGTCAGCATAACGCCATATTGTCATGAATCGTTCATATTTATTTGTCTCATAATAGCAATATTTTACGGTTAAATTTAAATTCGAATCAAAATCGCTTAAACTTGTTACAGTCCAAAAATGATGTATCGATATTAAACTTGTTAGACCCAATATAATGATACAAACATATTTGGCACGTGATATTGTGCAGAAGTATAATACTTTTAACGGAAACCAAACAGCAAGAAATTTATCGACTGTCATTACTACTAAGATCCATACAGTAGTATAGGTTAAAAGATAAATTAAAAAATATAATATTTTACAATGAAACGGATGGGTTGCGGCAAAATTTTTATAAACAAGATTTTTTGTTAATAATACCAATGGATCGAATAGACTCAAGGCAAGCATAAAAAATGCCGTCGATGTTCCACGCATACGACGGCTTTGTAGAACAAAGAAGCTAATACCATTACAAATTAACGATATGGGTAATATGATAAATGGTAAACCTTGTCGTAAAAAATCTAAAAACATATATATTCACAATACATCACTTGTTTTAGAGATTGAAACAGTTTATTAAATAGTTTATTCTTACCTCTAATACGATACTCAATCCAACATTCTGAAATCTTTTCATAAGAAAAAGTTTCATTTGTTAAATTTCTTTGCTCCTCTACCCATACCGAATTATTTCTGTAGACCAGCTGGGATAGTGTACTTGTTCTTGTATTGTCAATATGATGATCGTATTTTGAAATATTTTGACAATGTGGTGGATAATTTCCCATGTCTGAAATATGAAGAAGAATATTCTAGATCAAAGCTCCGTATACTCAAAACTTTAAGGTCCATATAAAGCTCTCTAATATAGATATTAAATTTAAGCAGTATAATCCGTAATACTCATAATAAATGTTGTAATATCAACTTAGACAAATTATTTTTTTGAGACAAGATTACTTTCTATGTTTAAGATCAATCCTCTGTAACTAAAATCGCCCATAAATTCGAAAGACCTTCACAATACCAAACTTAATACCGTATTTGAATTCAGCATCAAAAATTACCTCGAAAGAAACCAACCGATTTTTAGAAACTTTTTTCGCAAAATCTATCCGCCAAAGCTTTTAACTATAATTGTAAAATTATTGATAACTGCAATTGAATAACTGTCGCAACTGGAACGGAGAAGAAGTGTAAAATCATCGAAAAAATGTTCTTAGCATTTTGGTCTCGATTTAGAATATGTTGGTAAAAGATTCATGATTAATCCAGTTGTAACAGTTATAGTTTTACAGTTAGCTGTAACTGTTACATGCCTAGAATGATGAAAGCAGCACTATTTTACTGGAAAAGTAAAATGCTAATTTATCAGCTAGAAATCGGCGATTTTCGCTAGAATTCATTATTTTTAATGCTTTATAACTTAAGTATTCTTGCGACCCTGCCAGTGAAAGTCAGTATAATGAAGATACGTTTTACAAGGGTACACTCTAAGGTGATTTAACTTAGTATAAAAATTATAACTATAGAAGAAGATAGGAAAGATATTAAATTATCCCATTTTTAACTAACATTAGATGTACAACACTTTTATGATCACTGATAATTTCTCGAAGGTACATTGGAAAAAAACAAGGGTTTTGGGAATTGAAAGCATTTCTAAACCTCGTTTACGTATCGTACAAATCTACGAAATATTATTAAGTTTCATGGATCCTTATTTAGATTTCGTCGATTAGTACGAAAATTAAAAAGGGTTTAGAAATGGTTTCAATTCTTGAAACCTTTTTTAAATTCCGCACCCTACCAGTGTTTTTTTCCAGTATATAGTATGTTAATGTCGAGCAAATCTTTTGAGCTAAAGAAGCATATTGTTATCTACTCTGTTTCTCGCTCTTGAAAATCATTGACTACTTAAAAAACCACAATGCATAAAAACGAATTTGTTAATAGTTTTCCAATGGGACAATATATACCTTGTTATTGTTATCTGTTCTCTGTCTAGTGACAACTGATCAAAGTGCAAGATATTTTTTCCCACTTGAGAGTCCTCTGACGACAATAATTGAATAGTGAAAAATTACGTATTCCTATTATTTATAATTGAAGAGGTGAGAACTATTTAGAAAACAACTTTACGAATTTACAAATTAAAAGTAAATTACTTTACACATCTCTATCAGGGCCGTAGCCAGGGGGTAGGCAAACAGGGCACGTGCCAACCCCTTAAGATTTTACTTCACTGTATAATATATACTAAATTTATAGGTGATAAATGCCGTGTGGAGATAAAACGCAAGAAAAAGTGCTCGACCTAGCTTTAACATGAAAATTCAGACTAGTAACGATGGAACTTTTTTGTAGATGCCCACCCCTTACCAAATTTCTGGCTACGGCCCTGATCTCTATCACTATTCAATGTATGGTAAAAGATTCAAAAACTTATTTTAAAATATAGTTTATTAAAACTTGCTTAATGTGACACTATATTTGGTAGTTTGATCAAGACATGAGTTTTTGACTAAATTAAATTCTAAATTGTACATAAATTTCGGATAATTAGAATTCATGCATCATTTTCACCTACGACTAACAAAATATGATACAACAAATTATTTAGCATTATACTAATTTTCATACATATGTAGTTAATAAGACAATGTGTATAAACTATTTTCTTTTCGTTTAAATGATTGACAGTCACGCACTTACGATGAAGAAAAAAAATACATGATCTCGTATGATCGATTTTTAAAACAGATAATTCTTAGATTGTCTGTTGTCACCTGTCTATCTCTTTTTGAAATTTCCTTCAATTTTAAAGTTCTTTCATAAACACAGCACTTGAAAAACTTTCATTACTCCTATACGTATTTCTTGATGTATTTTCCTTGCTTTCGTCCACTGTGTGTACACAAAAACTCACCGTTTTCTTGATCAGCTTCTACCAGTCCAGATGGGTATGCACTTTATGGAAAGACAATTTTTTATTGTATTTTTTTTCCTCTCATCTATGTCTCGCTCCATAATAAAGTATAGGAAACCAATTGTCAGGTTTCATTATTCTGATAGGAAATACTGTAAAACATACCTGTCTTTATACTTTTATTCACTGTAGGCTATTTTCCGTACTTTACGATCGTATATATTCTGTGATCGGTAACAATAATACATCCTCATTCAACGGATATGTTAATCGAATTTGATAAGAAGAGAGAAGAGCAAAAAAAGATAAAAAAATTAATCAAGTTAGTTCACTTAAACCTTTTATCATCGAATATGAATTAAACACTGCCAATCAAAATTAATATACGACATTTTTATAAAATTATTTAATCCTAAACGTACATCTCATTAAACTTTACTGAATTTCCCTAAAGAATTTATGCTAATCACTACCACAGAAGAATACAATTAGATAAATATGTAATCTAGATAGAGATGTAATAATAGTATGAAAAAAACGCATAGAGGGTAACTTTAAAATTTATTTATTTTATTTGCCTAATGTCGAAACACATTTCAAGGATGAATAAAGTTCTCAGTCACATATACGTACGTACTTGCCAAAAAATACGTATAAATGACTGACAACAACAAATACTCTAATGCATTTCACAGAATGATGTTTATACAAACATTCATTTTTTTCTCATTTAATATAGCCAAAATTTTGACACCGAATTATTGTTAGTGCGAAAACATGATCTCTGCCGCCCTTCTTTCTCTCTCTCTCTCTCGTTTTCTAAAAAAACAGCACAACAAAAATATACCGATATCTTAATAATTCTACTATAACACTTTTTACCCCAAAAAAAGAAGCACAAAGGAGAAAGAATAAAAATTATTTGACCTGTCGACATTAAAAGAGATAAAGTAGTGATACTTACTCTTTTTTCGGTTTCTGTCAACAACTGTAAATTGGTGTCAATTGATAAAAAACAGAAATTATAAAAAATCTGAATGATCAAGACATTTAATCTCCATCTATGACTATACTAATTCATGGTTTTTTTTTCTTTTTTTTTTTCAATTGCTTCTATCTCTTTTGGCAAAGTGTCTGAATTGCTTTGAATTTTTTTTTTTGTTTCCTCTAATCTCACCCGCGATGATGTAATTATTCAAATATTGGATGAATTCGGTCGGATAATCACTTCATGAAAAAAGATGAGGAAAATATTTTGGATGTTATTATAAAAATTTGTTCCTTTGATTGTACTGCATTTTTTTTACGCTAAATGAGGAGTATTCTTGTGTTCATCTTAAAATGATCAACATCGAATACGCTTTATATATTACTGTGGACATTATATACTTATAGATACATATGAAGAAAAAGAGCAAAGAAAAGAGAGAATGGAAAATTCAAGGGAAAAAGAAATCATGAACGTGATTTTCATACACAACAAAATGAAATACAAAATTTATAAGCATTTCGTATATTTACACCTTGTTATTTTTTTATATTGGTGAAAAACATTTATTAAACGAGGTTCAATCAACAGGAAATAGTATTTGATCAGAATTTTTAAACAGCATCATTCTCCTTCTTTCGGCAATTTTGCATAGGTACTGTTTATCTCGCAAAGTATATTTCCTCTAATTCAAACTTTATACTATTGTCTCTGTTTAATAGCATTAACAAGCATGGCTTTATTAAAAGATAAAAAAATTAATTTGTAAAAGCAGTAATATTGATCGCCAAAACTGACAATTAACAGAACGGGCCTAAATAGTCTTCTACTTTCAGATAAAAACGACCAGTCCGCATAAGACTTGAAATCGGCCCACCAACTTTTACCGCTTTAATCTGTCCAAAACTCATTAGAATCATCATATTCGATGATTTCGACCCTTCTGAGCGAACAAACATATCCGACAGAATCTACTTGAAAACAAACAACCCGTTAGCACCACAAGTATGACTGTGTAAGTATCGAAATTTCTCCGTAAGTCTCCAACACTTAGCCTAGTGCAATACAGTATTCGGTGCGATTTTGCGATAAGGGTTCTCGTTCAGCAATCATAACAAAGATGAGTCTTATGAGGGAACCTCTTGAGGTTATAAATCGCTTTTGAACTCAGACTACCTTTATCTTGTAGATCCCAGTGAGTAGTGAAATACCCTAAGTTGGTTTGTGCCCATGGTGCTTTGTTGCTGAGATACTGGATTTTTAGTCAGTTTTTGCCTATGGAGCTTGGATTTCGAGCAAAATTCGACTTTCGAATTTTGATTTCAAACTTGCCACACTTGTAGCCCATAATCATAGTAGTCCGATGGAAAAATATTCAATGCTAATGAATTTTCCTGCTTTGAGATATTGAGACTCGAATATTTGACCCTCACCCTTACCTTTTGGTGAAATATTCGAGTCTCAATATCTCAAAGCAGGAAAATTCATTAGCATTGAATATTTTTCCGTCGGACT